AAGAATTGGCGGTGGGTGGTGATGCTTCCTTTACACTGCTAAACCAAGATAGCCCTCGTGTAGCTTTGCGCGAAATTCAAACAATCAATGATTATATATTTTAATATCACCTAAAGTTGTAATCCGGAAATTTAATTTTTTTTATTATCTTATTTGTTTGTTGTTGTTGTTTAATTTTTTCGCGGGGTTAGATTTTTTCTAATATCTTTAGCATTTATTATGCAAAAAGTCGATGTGTACCAAAGTGTTCTACTAGCTGTTTTTTGTTTGTTTGTTTTGTTTTGTTTTGTTTTTTATCGTGCCGTTAATAAATTAAACAAGGTATTCGTGAGTATATTTATCAAACATCGCTGTACAATTTAATTATTTTTTTCAACTCAGGATCCATTGAGCCAAGTACAATCATCTCAATATTAATAAATACTAAAACAGAAATGAAGTGTTAACGAATTTTAAAAAATGGAACACGAAGAGACTAAGTTATGCTCATTCATCTTATTAATTATTTGCTGAATTTATATTCTACAAAAAGTATGTAGAATAATCTGTAGACATATTTGTCTCTTGCGTGTTTTTTAAGCAAAAGTCGTAATACTAGGATGTACACTCTTTATAGACAGTTGGGACGAAACATTTGAAACCCTGACACTTCAGGCATCCAACACGAGAGCTACCATCACAAACCTCAGACCTGTTACTGACTACCATATTCGTATCCTTGCGAAAAACAAGCTAGGATGGAGTGACCCTAGTACTGTTGTCCACATCACAACAGGAGAAGAAGGTAGGTGTTAGAAATGAAGTAAAACAAACCAAGAAATAACTTACTTAGATTCCATGAAAGTGAATAAACGAATTAATAAAGGAAGTCAATAGGAAAATAAGAATAGAGATAATACAACGAAAAAAATATAATTATGAATATATTTTGGATGATACATGCTGCTTCATATAGTGAATGAAAAATTAAAGTACTATTTAACTTAGAATCGGTCGTTATTTTCATATATAAAAGGTGAAAGTTTAAATAAATTCTTACTCATAAGTAGATATTTTTATAACATCTATGTAGAGATTGAATGATCACTCAACTGCTGAGTGTATAATATTTTGAAAACTGTTATTTCATGATTAATGTGGACCTGAGTTGGTTATTACTAGTTATAATATTCCTTTAATAACTATTTCTGATCCAGTATATCAATCTCTGAAATTTTATTGGATACGAATATTATTTACTTCCAAAATAATCTAAAATATGTTTTATTTTACTTATTCGTGACTGATTTGGTAAGGTGCTTATAGCTTTGTTTTTGTTCCAAAATAATTTAATATATTCTTTCCTTTACACATTCGTGACTGTTTTGATAAGGTGCTTATAGCTTTGTTTTTTTTTTCCACTAAAAATATGCTTTGCTTTACTTATTCGTGACTGTTTTGATAAGGTGCTTATAGCTTTGTCTTTGTTCCATAATAATCTAAAATATGCTTTCCTTTACTTTTTCGTGATTGTTTTGGTAAGGTGATTATAGCTTTGTTTTTAATCCTTTAATATTGTGAAATCAGTACTGTCGATGGAAATGGTAAACTTTTAGTGGTCTCTCAGCATTTATATTTCGTTACTTATAAGTTTGTTATTTATAACTTTACCTTACTTTCTCAAAATTGAGCTGAGAATTTCCTCCTGATGTTTGTTTTTTATGTTCTAGAACAATGTAAAGTTAAAGACAACAACTGTAAGAGAATTGGGGCAGAGTTGGCACTTTGTAATGATGAATGTTGTTTTTGTAGTTCCAGAAGCTCCACCAAACAACGTCAAAGCGATCGCCGAATCCTCTCGCACCATAAAAGTCACTTGGGAGGTATAAATCAGTTGTGTTGGGCATCATTTATCTTCAGCACTATTAACATTAGTATAAGCAATGGATGTAGGTCATTGTTTTTAACCATACACAAATTTAAAAGGACTACTGCGAATAAATAAATATTGACTGAATAAAATTAGTTTAAAATTTTGGCCTTTAAAGTCTTAGAGAGTATAAACACCATTATTTTAATTATGAATTTTGTATTTATCTTCTTGTTTGGTTTATTCGTCTAGAAACAATTGTTTTCTTTATGTTGTATACTGTTTTAAATCCGTATTTTTTATAAGTAACTGAATAGACGCAATAATCCTCACTACTAACAGTGAATTGAATCACTCATTGAATACTCAATAACTCATTAATTTCTCATTGATTCACTGCTTCACTCGTATTTATACCGTAATCGCCTTCACCTCACTCCATGAATTATTCCAGATCATAACATCATGCGCCCTCTAGCAAACATCTAAATTGGAACATTAAAAGTAAAGCTTGCAAAATTGATCCTTACTGGATTGTGAAGTATTCTGAAAAATCCTGTTTTAGTGTTTCTCTTTTCCTAGGTGCGATGGGCTTTTACTGCCCTGTCACTGGTTATATGGTTGAATAAATCCATTGAAGGCTCTTCCACAGGTTGAATTTCTACTGCCAAATTATTTTCTGGAGTTACCCAGTTGGCCACTCTCTTATTGATGTGTTCCAGAGAATATCGTGGTAGATGGCCATTGACTTCAACTGCTTGTCCTTCTGGATTCTGTAAACCACGTCATTTATTACTTTCATTACAAAGTATGGTCCTTCCCAACACCTCACATATTTTGGAGTTCGCCCTTCCTTGCAAAAAGAATTGTTCAGCCATACCATGGCACCTTAACGAAATCCAGTTTTATCAGCATTAACATCATAATTTGTGTTTCCCGAGTATAGTCATGTATGGCATTTTTATTCTTCAGATACACAAGACCTCTAGCTACCATCAATCACTCAGAATGTGCTGGAGTGTTTGTTTCCATTATACCCCTGTCACTAGATCTATATTTATTCTTAATAACTCCAGGTGGTCAATGTCATTGAAAGTTCAACCTCTGGTATAGTAATTACCATGTAGTGCATAGTGATTTCCTGGAATAGACTGTGAAGCTATTTAAAGGTAGCCTAACCTTGCATCCATGTCTTTACATGAAGTCAGTTTTCTATGTGCACTCGATGTTAATTACTCACTCATCATGAAGTGTGGAGAAGCTTCATACAGTAAGGGTAGCTTCCAACTTCCCTCTTGCTGGAACTATATGTCCACTTGCTGTTTGCATCATTCCATCTTCTTTCATCCTTTCTGGAGGCAAATATTTTATCTCTCATTATTAAATTGGATTTAGTTATTGTGGCTGTAGAACCAGTGTCAATCAAAATATTGCAAGGCTTTTCATAAATAAACCCATGAGCGGGTTTCTTTAAATAATGAACTTCTTATATAATTTGAAACAGATGAGGTTTTCTCAACTGAAATTTGCCCCATAGTCCAGCTAATTTCTGTTTCCCAATGATGTCTTGGTAGCCGTGAGCTGTTCCGTTGATCTGGTTGGGTTTGAAGACTCATCTTTGGGGTATTGTTTCCTTGGTGTATTAATAGCTGTTGATTCTTTACTGTCTCGGCTGTAATGACTAGGTTTTCCTGAAACGGTTCCCCCTTTCTGGTATCTTTTAGGAGGACTTTTTCTATTCCATACATACTTTTGTCTCCAGTTCTGAACAATGAGTCTTTTCAGGTTACGCTTGAAACATTTATTGTTTTTTGGTTTATTTCCTCCTTACCATGTAACTAGTTTTCTAACTAATCCTCACAGTTATTTTATATTATCGTCACGAGGAGTTGGTTTTTCACTACTATTCAATCCGACGATTCCATAACTTTTGAATGGTGTTTTTAGCTATTCATCTAGGGCTAGAATCACACTACTACTACTGCTGCTACTGGGCAACGTATGAATACCTGTACATTTATAGGCTATACTTTCTGATCGGTTGAATGACAACCACTCAACGTGAACCATCGAAACATGACACTCTGATGTAATTCGTTTTCATATGACAAAGGGGTGGAATTCCTACAGAATTTCCCTTTTATACCCTTTTTTTGCTCACCGTTTCCATGATCATTTCCAATAATCCAATTTAACTTTTCTAACCCAAACATTCCTCACACGTCGACATGTTTGGATAGTTAATACATATTCTTGGCATAGCTGCCAAAGTTCTTAGAATATCCGGAATTTTTATCTAAACAATTAGCACTATTTCCATGGTCAATGGATTTCACAAATTAGCCCTTAACTAATGGTTCTATCGTGTGTTTTTTATATGATACAGTTACTGTAAACTTTCGAAACTATGTTTTTAGCATAGCTATGAAAATAAGCATAGTTTGATTCAACTAACATTTATGAGTTTTCAGGTAATGAACGAATAGATTTAATTAATTATGCCTGTCTAAAAGTTACAGTTCACGTATTAAAAGAACGATAGGAATATTTTCAGACTCTGTTCGTCTGTGTGTGTGATGATTAAAAATCGGGACTTCTATTATAGTTTAAATATAATTATTTTACATAACTTAACCTATTCCACTTTATTGGTGCAACATACAGTCTAATATTTTTTTAGAATGATAGGGAAAAATGAAAATGCTTTCTATGTATCAAAAATCCTCACAGACTTCTTATTTATATGTGAATAACTTTTTATCCGTACTAGCCGCCAAAGCCGGAACTAAGGAATGGTGTTCTGAAAGGCTATTACGTTGGTTACAAGATACACACATCCAATGAACCCTTTGTCTACAAAACGGTTGAGAGATTACAAGAAGTTGTTCTATATAATTTGAAGCGGGCAACTCGATATAGCATCAAAGTGATGTCTTTCAATGGAAAGGGTTCTGGACCTTCGTCTGAAGAACTAGTTGTAGAGACACTAAAGAATGGTTAGTACTATAAATGTGCTAAGTACCTTTTGTATTTGTAATTGATGGCATACTATATTACAGAGTACAAAACAAAATATTGGACAGACAAATCAAACATTTGAATAGCAAAGGATTTAAATTTCTTTCTGTTGTTAGATAGTAGCTAAATCAATGTAAAAGTAACCTTTTGAACACTTTTTTGTCCTAAAACACCCCCACGAATAATAGTTGAAATTCTGGTTCTCTGGAGGATGAACCAGAAATTTATGATAATCACAAAACTTTTTACATGTTTCATTTATTTTAACGTACTAAACATGATAATAACAGTTCGTTGAAATACTGTCTATAAGTTACAACAGGTTTCAGCAAACGACTTCTACGGATGTTATTTCCAATAGCTAAAAACCATTCGCTTTTAAGAGACAAAGATATAATTTACCTGGGATTTCAACTCGCCGTTAAGGGACTCAGGTTATTTTTGTCGTTTTAATTTTAATATTGAGTTAATATCGGAAAGAAAGTCATTAAACATTAACGAATGGATATAGATATAATATGATATTATTTGCAGATTAGCAAATGATAGAAAACTCTTATTTCGTAAATCTGGTGCTCTTTTTATTTTATCACTAAAATATCACCTTTAGAAATACAGAAACTTAGGGTTCACTGATATATCCATTGTATCGAAAATATTAATTTACACATGTAATTGAAACAGGGTTTTGAGTTATCTAAATAAGAATTTATTTTTCAAGGAAAGGCGTAATATTACCGAAAAAAAACTTCTTTTTTTTTCAAAGAGGAGAGCTTGTTTGTTTTAGCGCAAAGCTACACAATGGGCTATCTGCGTTCTGTCCGCTGCGGGAAATCGAACTCCGGATTCCAGCGTTGTAAGGCCGTTTTGGGTTGTTTTTTTTTCTATTAATATTCATCAGTATTTTGGATATGAGTGCTGGCAACGAGGCGTTTTTGTTTTCTTTGATATTCTATGTATGTAACTTCCCGCTTTGCTAAACCTGAAATACTGTTCTTTTTACACACACACAAAGTAATTTTCTATCTACAAAAATACGCTTTAATAAAGTAAATTGAGATATATCCGACCGTAAAATACATTCAGGCTTCAGTGCAAGTAGTTCTTCCCATAAAATCTTGTATTTTGTATTGTTTTGTTTTGGTATTTTTATCTATTAGTATAACATTTAAAACAAGCATCCATTCGAGGTGAAATAAATGCTTTATTTTATACACCTAGAACTTTATTAGAAAGAACATCAAACCTTTTCAGAAAAACCTGAGGTTATATATCTGTAAAAATTATAATAATTTGTTTTAAGCGCCAACTGAATTCGAAGGTCTTTTATTTTGTTCGAAACTATGTACAATAGTTGTGTAAGTATCACACGATTAATTTAAAACATCTCTTCTAGATCCGCCAATAACACCACAGTTAAAAATTGTTGCTACAACGTATACATCCATTAAGCTCAGCTGGACCAACACTGAAAAACAGCACAATATCATTACAGGTAAGGTAGAATTACTTATATGAACATTGTAGCTAAATCATTAAAATAATCTGTGATGTTTAGTGGAAGTCTTTATCTAGATAAACGGCTTTTGTAAGAGCTATAACGTTTGTCTCCTTAGAATATTTATTTTCTAAGTTGATCAAGCCTGCTTCTTAAGTTCAATATAGTATTATGTACTATCAAGATCAGGAATATGAAACCTGCTGGATCTGTCAATATTATTATTTAAAAATTAACTAAAATTATAGACAGATAAATATATAGACAGGGATTGAGTTAATGAATATATATACAAATAAAACACAAAGAATCACAAATTAATCGTTATTTTCGCAAATTCTTGTTAAAGTTAATGTAGTTTCATCTTATAATAACCCGTGACGACAATCAGTTAAAGTCACTCTAAATATGAGTTGTGCCCTATGATTTCTACAAGGCTTCTCGACATTTTCAAGAAACGACGTATTTGAAAGGATCAATGTCGTGTTTGATATCTGAACCTAAACTACTGCAGGAAATTGAAAAAGATCTGACACTGGATATCATAGAAATATCATTTTGACTGTTCCATAGTAATTGCTACAAAATGTTAACTGCAATGTTATATTAAGCAAACAATAAATAATACTTGAGTGTTAGGATACAACTTCAATTGGCAAGTAGATTCACACTAATAACCCGTGGTAAAATATTTTCCGCTGACTACTTCCTAAGAAGATTTATGTTTTCATTGTTCGGTAATAAAATAGAAAGCTTACTTTCAACTTATCTCTAATCTGAGATAAAACCTTGCAATGTTTCGTAATGATCCCTGAATAAATTTTGAATACTTAAATTTGACATAAAGTAAAAATAATTATCTTTAGAATCATGCATTATTTTATATTTCAGGATATTTCATTTACTATAAGAAACAATACGGTACTTGGGAAGAAAGACAAACTCTGTCTGATCAGGAAAGTTACACATTCCGCGACCTCTTCTGTGGTTCTCAGTACCACTTCTACCTTGTTGCCTACAACAGTGCGGGAAAAGGAGAAAACAGTGATGTTGTAGCAGCTAAAACTCAAGGAGATGGTGAGTTTTCCAACAAAGGCAGGGAAAAGTGCTATTGATAACTTAAAATAATTATGATTAAGGTAAGCATACGCATAGATAAAGTAACTACGTATTTTCGTCTTGAAAAAAAGTATGCCTAACTAATTTTTCATTGATTCATATAAAATACGCTATTTATTATAGCGTTATATAACTTATTTATAACGAGTATAATTTACAAGACAATAGCATAAGGTAAATTACATGAATACGTAAAAGTGGATTCAAGCTGTATACACTGGCTGAGTATAATTTTATTACAAGTTACAGCTTTTACAGTAAGAAAAAATATTTTGAAAACGGGTACGACGTTTCGATCAATGGTGCGATCATTCTCAAGTATACAAGTTGGTCACACCAGTGATCGAAACATCGTACCTATTTTAAAAATATTCTTCCTTACTGTAAAAATTGTCAAGTGTAATGAAATAATACTTATAGCCACAAGTAAACTCAAACCGAAACTATTAATACACTGGCTAAGTTATAGGCTGGATATAAGATATAAACATACATCTTTAATACAACTACAACTTACATGATAACCATAGAACTGACAAGCTGTTATATTAATGAAAGTGCTGTAATAGAGTGGATATTGTTTTACGTATTCCTGTCATCTTGAAATTTGTTTGGTAAACTTTTGTTATTGTTATGATCGTGCTGTACTCGCACTTCGTTTTCCCTTCTCACGTACACCAACTTTATTTATGCTCTACTTATTTCTATAAGGAATTGGCTCACACCAACATATACATAACAGATTACTGTTTAATGTTGGTTATCAATAACATATAGGTTTATAAATAGGTTTTAAGTTTCTTTTTCCCAGTATATTATTTTCTTCCTGCGCCTCTCTCAGTTTATTTGTTCTCTCACACATCTTTCTTTCTCTCCTCTTTCGTCGAATTTCTGCTTTTATATTCTTTTTTCAAGCGTACGACCAAATCGGCCCTTTTGTTTCGAACATTGCAGCCTGTTGATTATAAAGTTCCATAATTATAGGGGTATTGTAGTCTCCATACCGATTGAACTTAAAATGGCGGCCACTATATACCCGCTCGCTCCAATCACTTTCAAACAACTTAGAATATCGTAATTCCTTAATTTCTTGGACACTGTCTTACAGTTACTGAACTTCAAATAGTGTTACCTTACAACTCACTTCATAATAACTATCGATATCAAGATTTATTGAACATTAAAATTGCTAGAATACAGAATTATGAATACCACAGTATGAAATAACATAAACGTGTTTACGTAATCAAGAATAGGAGATATATAACACTTTCTTTTGTTTTTAAAAAGATGTAGATAGATAGATAGACTAAGCTTGATGTTTTTCTCTTGTAAATGGCATGAAAATATTTATTTTCAACTACCTAAAACTAGCGTTTTGTTGCGAGTCATTATATATATTTTTTTTTTCAAAAATTACAAACTGTAAACAAAAATAATGAATTTTTTTTCCTGCTATTTGTATTATCATCATCTTATTGGATTTTAATATAATAAAAAGAAACAATTACGATATATATATATATAATTTTGCCAATAAACCTTTATAGTACCAAAGGCACCCAAGCGGCAAGCCTTCTTATCTATCAACGCTACTTCAGTAAGTATTCACCTCACTACCTGGCAAAGTAACGGTTGTCCAATCAACTTCTTTGTCATCCAGTATAAGCCCCATCTACAGCCAGAATGGATCTTGGTGTCGAACAACATAGTTTCTGAGCAGAAAACTGTTATAATATCAGACTTAAACACAGGTTCATGGTACACCTTGCTGGTGACAGCACATAACGACGTAGGCCCTACAGAAGCCGAGTACGTCTTCTCGACGCTAACCCTAGAAGGTGGTAGGTTGTAATTACCGTTTGGGAATCTCTATTCTGTCACATTCACTTGCACTTTAGTCACGTATATCTTTACCGTGTGATATTTACATATTATTAAAAGGTAATTATAAATATTGATACGAAATTTATAATTGAAAAATCATTTGTTTTCAAATCGTGTCTCTCTCTTTTTCTTCTTTTGTACCAGTCTAGTCACGTGCTTTTTGTTTTCTTAGAACTTTTCACTTTAATCCTATCAAACAGTATTATAAAATTCAGATCTATAAATTCCTAATCCCCTATTGTTTCTCCTTAGCCACTGTCCCACCAATATCTGCTCTTGATGTACCACGCCCGGCCTTGTACAAAAGTCTCAGTATAGTTGTCCCTAGTGGATGTGCCGTAGTCGTTCTTTTCGTAATCATCATTGTTGCATGTGTTGTTGTAAAGAGAAGAAGGCATTTTGATTCTGTTCCTGGGAGAGGTAAGAATGGCTAGGCTTAATGCAAGGTGAAATGAAAAAAGAAAGTCATCTAGGTAATATCATTAGATGAGTACGTAGCTAAAACCTTATATTAGAAAGAGCTAAAGTTTCTACAATTTTATTACTAAGTTATGTATTTCGACGCATTATACTACGAACACCAAGTCAAAGAAGTGATACAAACTTGTTTGGAAATAATCACACAAAACTAAGTAATCTGAAAATACAAAGAATAAAACATATGGCCACTTTTCAGGCGCTGCATCAAGTCTATAATTTCATAAAAGAACGGTAGAATATTATTAAGTTTAAAATAAATTACAGACTTTAAAGAAACCATATGACAAACGAGTTTATGAAACGTCACAGAACAACTCCACATAATAAATGGCACAAGCAAAATATTGCTGCCTTAACATTAATATGTTTTTTGTTGTTTTATAACTTTATAAAATTGGTTAAATTGTGAAGAATACTGACTGAACAAGCTGCTAGTTAGAAGTGATACTGAAAACGTTATTATAACTCTAGGAACAAACGTTCAGTCAAGTGGTTCGTATAATTTTTACGGTTGATCTAATTACTTTCCAGAAAGTTTTCTAATAATAAATTTTGTTTTTTAATTACTTGTGAGAAAATTGTCATTTTGAGACTAATATCCATTTTAAGACGGTTCCTTATTTGCCAAGAATTTATATTTTCAATTAATATTTAAATTTTAAGTTAGTGATTACGACCAAAAGCTTATATCTGTAAATCTTATATCCATAACTTATTTTAATGAAACTTAGATTATAGAAAATTACATCCCAAACGCCTCAGAACTCGAGAGTGTTCTCTCTCTCTCTCTCATGTGTGTTGAAGAAATGGAATCTTCCAAAAACCAGATTTGTATCAAATATCTTGGATGAACTAGCAGCAGTAAAAACTACAAATTGTTGACTTAATTGTCATTTACGATTAGTTCATTTTACACAGTTTAACTTTTCACTACTAAATAATCTTTAAAAGGTTTTATTAATAAATCACCAGACTATGTATAGTTTTTTTTATAATTTTTCACAAGAGATGCAATTGATATAATTGACACACACCTATACTTTGGAATTTTCAATACTAGTGTTTGGGGATTATTGTTGTTGTTGTTCATAATGAATTCCTAGTAAGAATGGAGTTAATGTAAAAAACCTCATAATGCAAAATAATTAATTTACTTAATATATTGTTCATGGATTTTGCCACTAGACAACCGATCCAGGGATGACAAAAGCTTGGAGGGAATAGGACTGTCTGTTATGGAAGGAAAATCTTCTGGGAGCATTGGTAGTGGTAGTCCCAAAGAGCAACTCTACTATCCTTCCCCTTATGCCATGAGCAGACTACCAATGTTTCCAAAACACCTTCAGAGCTGCTCAGAATCGGATATTGTCCACAGCCTAAGGCGACCAGGACGAGAACACATCTACGATGTTCCTTTTCCAACAAAAGTGGCAAGAACTATAATTGAATTATTTTGTTGATTATATCATATTATAAGAAATGTTATGTTATAAATTTCTTAATTGGATTACCAATAATTGTGTTGTTTTTATATTGTATATTTTCACGCAATGCTTGTCGACATTTTCTTTTTGTTATTTGGTAATATCTATATTTTTTTCCAAATTTGTAGGATAAGATAGCTCAAGTATACTGTTTCAAACTTAAAAGTTTGTGATTAATACAAACATAGAATCTGAGAAACAAAGCAACATAGAAACACAAATATTACTATTGTTAGTGATATTTATCTCTCGACTTGCATGTCGAAATTGTCCATTATAGTAAATAATTTGGAATAAAAGAAATAATTTAAAACTTTAATACCTAATATTTAATTCATAATGATATAAACTAACTGATGCTAAGTTAAGATTTTACTAAATAATGTGTTACATTTGCAGTGTTTATAGGCCTCACTGAGCCATAGTTCACTGTTGGAAATCCAACCATTGAATAATCAGTTCTTTAGCAATAGAACATAACGTTTAGTTTCCTGCTAGTAACAGATGTGACAATTATATAATTTTACTATACTTACTTCTCTCTGAAAGTTAAATAACGTTACTCACGCAATTAAAGAGTCATTATATATTTAATACGTATATATATATATAGATAGATATATACATACACATATTTCTTTCTACTATATGAGTCCCCCAGTGGCACAGCGGTATGTCTGCGGACTTACAACGCTAGAATCCGGGTTTCGATACCCGTGGTGGGCAGAGCACAGATAGCCCATTCTGTAGTTTTGTGCTTAATTACAAACAAGTAAATTTTCTATATGAATATACGTATACGTAATACATGACTTGTATTAGTTTCATTTCACCTCAACATATCTGTTGTACTATGACACACGTGACGATATTCTTGGTTAAATCGAATTGTTTGTATTATAATATCCTGGACCCCCTCAAGAGTAAAGTTATCGAGAATACTTTCTTGGTATAAGCTCTGGCTCGCCCTGAAAATAAAGTTATCGAGAATACTTTCTTGGTATAAGCTCTGGCTCGCCCTGAGAATAAAGTTATCGAGAATACTTTCTTGGTATAAGCTCTGGCTCGCCCTGAGAATAAAGTTATCGAGAATACTTTCTTGGTATAAGCTCTGGCTCGCCCTCAGAATAAAGCTATCGATAATACATTTTTGGTATAAGCCTTGGCTCGCCCTCAGAATAAGGTTATCGAGAATACTTTCTTGGTATAAGCTCTGGCTCGCACTGAGAATAAATTTATCGAAAAACTTTCTTGGTATAAGCTCTGGCTCGCCCTGAGAATAAAGTTATCGAGAATACTTTCTTGGTATAAGCTCTGGTTCGCCCTCAGAATAAAGCTATCGATAATACATTTTTGGTATAAGCCTTGGCTCGCCCTGAGAATATTTATCGAGAATGTTTTCAAATCTTATCGTTTAATTGATTTTATCTTTTTTGACATTGTTATGATCAAAAACTGATATTAGGGTCAGAAGCTATAAATTTACTATACTATTTAGTCTTAGATTAAGATGTTTTTAAAGAAGTTCAAAGTTAGTAAATCACAGAAGTTTTTGTGTTCCAGCACACGGATGAGGATGTATATTCTCACATAATGGAGACATCGTCCATTCCCTTCCCCCAGGAAATCAATCGTTATCAAACACCAAGTAAGTCTTTACTCATATCTTGTACAATATATCTAATATCTCGTAAATTATAATTCTTACTCTGAAGTAAATAAAACAATCAAAACTTCATAAATTCATTTATATATACTGTTACAAACAACATTAGGCAAGATTTAACATGTACTTCAATTATCTTGAATTTGAAACACCAAATACGCCAGAACTCTTCCTTAATTTGTTTATGTTTACTTTTTTCTGTTGTATACCTGATATGTATTCATTGAAGCATTACAAGAAATGTTTCGAAATGCATGTAAAAAAAGTAAATTTTGTTTTAATCTCGCAGAATTTCGTGCTGCAGTTGGTGTGGTCTAAAAAAATCATAATTTCTTGACGGTATTTTAAGATAAAGTACAATTTTAATTTAACTTGCTTATTAGTTATGTAGTTTTTCATTCTATTTTATTTACGTGTACAATATGTTTTCGAATATTTGCCAAGTTCTATTATTGCAAATATTTTAACTTGCTTATTAATTATGTAGTTTTTCATTCTATTCTATTTTACGTGTACAATATGTTTTCGAATATTTGCCAAGTTCTATTATTGCAAATATTTTAACTTGCTTATTAATTATGTAGTTTTTCATTCTGTTCTATTTTACGCGTAAAAATATCTTTTCGAATATTTGCCAGGTTCCATTATTACAACTATTTAAGGGTTGACATTTCATATGGTAAATTGCTGTCGTATCGGTTTATCTACAATCAATTTCTAAACAACTGAGGATTTAAGTTGGGTCTGTTGCGCTTCTTTTATAAACTAAATAATGACGTAGAAGTAGTAAGGCGAACTTATCAGGCCTAATTAGCAACTGCACAGATTCTTTAGTTGGATGAAAATGCTAAATACATTTTAAATTTTGTATGTTTTATAAATTTGACGATTATATAGTTCAAGCATAGGAATTATGATTAATATTGTGTATTTCACAAGTCTTATTTTCCTCGTAGTGCCTCATTGACAAATATACACATGTGTTTCAACATCTTTGTTTGTGATTATTTTATTCTCATATTAATTGGTCGGCGTTCAAACATTAGTTATATCTCATATTGTACTCTAAGATTTTGATTAATTCAATTTATAATATGATTTATACTTTCGATATGTTTACGTTCTCAGAAGTAGTGATGTCAAGACCGTTAAAGTCAGCACCACGTCATTCTAGGGATCGTCTAACAGAGGAATGTAGAAGATCTAGCAATAAAGGGATTCACGGTCGCCAAAGCTTGGCCTCCGATGGGTAACACGATATGATTATCCATCAATCTGTTTGTTTTATATATTAATTCATATAGTTCTTAATTAACTCGTTTAACCGTCTATACACCTAAATACCTTCAGTACTATTAGATTGCATACAAGAATGATCGTAGAAAAACTTTTAATACAGACGTAATGTAGAAAATAAAAAAAAGAGTGCACAGAAGCATTTATATCTACTTATATCTTTAATATCGATATGTCCACTAATGAGTCCAGCATAGAGCGTAGTCGTCTACCCTTCCCCTGTTAATCAAGAAATTAATGTTGCCTCAGAATATTTAAATTTGTCATTTAAATCGGGATCCTTGATCCCAGGCCACATTAGTTTACACTCGTCTTCCCTTCAGAAATTTCTTGACGCGCCAGTGATGTTTATCTGTTGTTTAGTTAAGTTTATATATAAATTATGTGTCTTGGGTTATCTATTTACTTTCCACTTAACTCTATGCGTGTTCATTTTCATTAGTAAAGTCTAAGAAACAACCAGTGTACTTCTTTTTAAAATTTTATATATATTTGCTAAAAAGCAGCGTAAGGGGAATATCTGTTTGTCCAATTATTAAGTGAATATGAATTAATGTATGTCACACGCTCTCTATGAAGTACTGTAAGATACTACTTTGACGGTAAAGTTTTCAAAACCTAAATATAGACACTCCACTGATGAGAGCGACAGTGAAGCCACAACGTACTTCTTCAGGAGAAATCTCACCAGCAGTCGCCAGGATCCCCGAGATATATCCGAGACTGAATGTGATCGGGACCAGAATGAACTGAGAGAAAAAGGTAACTATTGAACACAGCATAACATGAAAGTTAAAGACAGCAAGAAACCTGCTATTGAACACAACATAACACGAAAGTTAAAGACAGCAAGAAACCTGCTGATTCACCTAGATGGTGCCTTCCACTAGATTATACTGAATATCGAAACAAATTCGAAGCCGGCCCATACCGTTCAAATGATCATGATGATTTCCATCAAACCCACTAAAATTAACTACATGTACCACATCTGAAGGCAACCCATTCCGAAGGCCAACCACCCTGTCAGAAAAATAAAACTGTCTTTGCTGAAGATGACTTCTACCCGGCCAATATCTATATTTGTGTACCCTGGTATTATTGCCACTCTTTCCATTTGTTTGTTTGTTTTGAATTTCGCGTAAAGCTACGCGAGGGATATCTGCGCTAGCCGTCCCTAATTTAGCAGTGTATGACTAGAGAGAAGGCAGCTAGTCATCACCACCCACCGCCAACTCTTGGGCTATATTTTACGAACGAATAGTGGGATTGACCGTCACGTTATAACGGCCCCACGGCATGTTTGGTGGGACGGGGATTCGCACCCGCGACCCTCATATTGCAAGTCAAACGCCCCAACCATCTGGCCATGCCAGTCTTTCCATTAAGTACAAAAACACATAATGCATTGACACTATCAATTCCCATATCAATCTTAAACATCTCAATCAGATCCACTCTTCTGTTTTCAAGAAAAAACTGTTTCGTAGATTGTAACCTTTCTTTCCTACGTGCCCCCAGTGGCCCAGCGGTATGTCTGCGGACTTACAACGCTAGAAATCGGGTTTCGATACCCGTGGTGGGCAGAACACAGATAGCCCTTGTGTAGCTTTGTGCATAATTAAAAACAAACAAACAAACTTTCCTACGTATCATCCTAGTAGCCTTCCTGTGAACCCTTTCCAATAATTCGATGTCCTTTTTAGTGTAATGAGCTCAAGAATGAACACAATACTCCAAATATGGTCTAAGCAATGACATTATAACCTCTTTAGACTTGTATTAAATATTTCTGTAGATACAATCCAAAATCCTATTTGCCTTACCACAAGCAACAGTAGATAGTTTGGATGGCTTAAGAAACTGATTAAACAGAATACCAAGATTATATCTTTTATAACACTATTGAGTTTTCCCCATGAAAATCATTCTCGTAAGTTATAGCGTTTATTACAATTAAAAACTATCTGCCATTTATTCGCCTAACTCATCAAATAATCCACATATTTTCCTAATACAGTAGCATCCTCCTCACAGCAAACAACACTCAAAACCTTGATATCATCAGCAGATTTTGACAACTTATTGAACATTCCTTCATCTTTCTTCCATCCAGCCACTTTTCTATCTAATGAGTCAATTTCTCCTGTAAATCTATATAAAATATTTTGTTAACTATCCTTTTATTTGGTACATGAGCAAATGCATCCTGGAAATCCAGATACACCAAATTCACACCCTTACCCTCATCTACATAAACAGTAACCTTTTCAAGGAATGGCAGAATATTAGTAAAGCAAGATTTTCCCCAAGTGAGACTGTCCAACAAGAGTTTAAAATTTGTTAAGTGGCCTTGCTAAGCATCTCCTATCAGACTTTCATACATTTTCCCTGCTGTTAATGTAAGACAAATGGACCTATAGTCACTGGAACAATTTTTAAAACCTCCATTGAAAAGAGAAGTGACATTAGCCATCCAATCTTCTGATGCCTGCTGTTACGTATTCAAATTTCAAATGGTCTGAAATTGAGTTAATTGATAAATTTAAATTTAGCTGTTAACTTATACTTTGGATTTAGCAGTTAAGTAAAAGCCGATATATAGTCAGTTTATGATATTTGCCAACAAGAATGATACACACCGTTTTCGTTTTTAACAC